TGGACAGTGTTGGCCCAGGGATTTAAAAACTCCCCCACCCTCTTTGGCCAGGCTCTGGCCAGGGACCTAGAGGAGTGGGATAATGGAGGCCCTCCTTCTGCAGTATGTAGATGATTTGTTAATTGCCACTGTGGGCCAAACACCCTGCCTTAAAGCCACCGTGAGCCTCCTGAATTTTATTGGACTCCGGGGATATCAGGTAGCACGGAGTAAGGCTCAAATTGCCCTCCCAGAGGTATGGTACCTCGGGTTTCACATATGGCAAGGGGAGCATCAGCTTTCAAGCGAAAGAAAGGAAGCTATCTGTCAAGTTCCTACCCCAAGTAACCGTAAGCGGCTCAGGGCATTTCTGGGTATGGCAGGCTTTTGCAGGATATGGATCCCAGAGTTCGGACTGTGAGCTAAACCCCTGTACGACTGTGTAAAAGGAGCAGATCATGACCCCTTCTATTGGACCCCAGAGGCTGACAGGGCATTTAAAATCCTGAAAAGAAAATTGATGGAAGCCCCGGCTCTGGGCCTGCCGGATCTCTCTAAGCCGTTTCAGTTGTATGTACATGAACGAAGGGGGGTGGCCCTAGGAGTGCTTACACAGCTGTTAGGAGCATGGAGACGTCCTGTGGCTTATTTTTCTAAGCAATTGGATCAGGCTGCAAAGGGTTGGCCGGCATGTTTACGGGCGGTCGCAGCTACTGCCCTAGTGCTTGAGGAAGCTGAGAAGCTAACATTGGGAGGGGTTATGCAAATCTATACTCCCCATATGGTCCGAGCCTTATTGGATGCAAAGGGAGGGCTTTGGCTCACCCAGGCTCGGATTGCTCGGTACCAGGCTAAGCTGTTAGAGAACTCTGAAGTCACCCTACAGCCTTGCCCCTCCCTTAACACAGCCACCCTCTTGCCAGAAACAGAGGAACAGGAACATGACTGTTTAGAGATCATAGATGCCCAGTACTCCAGCCGTCCGGATTTAAAGGATGTACCCCTCCCAAATGCAGATTATGAGTGGTACACTGATGGTAGCAGTACTGTAATAGATGGGCAAAGGAGGGCGGGTTATGCTGTTGTGACCCTCCATGACACTGTGGAAGCTGAAGGTTTGCCTGCTGGGACCTCTGCCCAGCTTGCCGAACTGATAGCCCTGACCCGTGCACTTGAACTGTCAAAAGGAAAGCGGGTCAACATTTTTACTGATTCAAAGTATGCTTTTGGTGTGCTGCATGCTCATGCTGGCCTATGGAAGCAAAGGGGAATGCTGACAGCCCAAGGCTCCCCAGTCAAGTACGGGCCCCAAATCCTCCGGCTCCTAGAAGCCGTACAACTTCCCTTGGAAGTGGCGGTGGTACACTGTAAAGCCCATCAAAGGGAAGATCAAGATGTGGCCAGAGGTAACGCCTGGGCAGATAGAGAGGCTAAGCATGCTGCCACCCTGCCATCCCCTCAGACTGAGAACGCCCATATGCATGCCCTTATCCCATCAGTAGGGGAGCTTCCAACCCCTCAGTACTCTTGGGAGGAGAGACAGCTAACCGACAAACTCGGTCTCCGGGAAAAGGAGGGATGGCTCCATTCCCCAGAAGGGAAGGTCCTCTTACCAAAGGGCCTGATCCGGCCAGTGCTGCAGAAACTACATCAAACCACTCATGCTGGCAGGGAAGCACTTATCCAGCTAATGGGAAAATACTTTATCACATCCGGACTCCGACCCCTGGCTGCCCAGGTACAAGCGGACTGCTTAGTCTGCCAAAAGAATAACCCCCGACCGGGACATCCTGTGCCACCAGCTGCCCTAGAACCCACTCCGGGCCCCGGACAAGTGTGGCAAATAGACTTTACTGAGTTTCCCCGGACCCAAGGGTTCAAATATCTCCTTGTCATAGTGGATCGGTTCAGCGGATGGCCAGAAGCCTTCCCATGCCGTAACTGCACTCCCAGAACAGTGGCCCTCAAGGTTGTTAGGAAGATCATTCCTCGCTTTGGACTCCCCCTGTGGATGGAATCTGACAATGGGACACACTTCACGTCAAAAATCATCCAAAGCATCTCACATGCCTTACAGATCCCCTGGAAACTCCATACGCCCTGGAGACCGCAAGCCAGTGGGGTAGTGGAGCGTACCAATCAGACCCTTAAACGGCATCTCACAAAAGTATGCCAAGAAGCCTCACTGCGATGGCCTGATGCTTTGCCCCTCGTCCTACTCCGTATCCACGTTCTCCCAAAGGGTAGATTAGGGCTCAGTCCCTTTGAAATTATGTTTGGAAGGGCATGGCCTATGAATGGCACCCCGGTTCTGTCAGGGGAATGGGAGTTGGGTAATGTTTTTGTGTCTCAGTATATGTGTTCCCTGTCTGCTGTTCTCTTGTCTCTTCACAGGTATAGCAAGAATTCCCAGCCTCTCCCCTTGGACTCTCCCGTTCACTCCTTACAGCCCGGTGACTCTGTGCTTGTTCGCACCTGGAAAGACGAGCCTCTCCAGGAAAAGTGGAAAGGACCCTATACCGTCCTGCTGATCTCCCATACAGCGGCAAAGATCAAGGGACACAAGAACTGGATCCATCACGCTCGTCTGAAGGCAGTAACCGCCCCCTCGTCAGCAGAACCGTGGACCGTCCAACCTGCTGACTCCTCATCCAGTGACGATCTCGGGCTAAAGCTACTGTTTAAAAGACACAAATAGTGGGCACCTTAATGCTAAAATGGGCCCACCCAGGTACTGGAGACCCTGGGTTGGGAAGACTCTGGTGATAATTAATTGGGTAACATTGTTATTCTCTGTATTGGTATTTCCAAATTGTGCATATTGGGAGCATAACTCCTTTGTTTCGCTTGCGCACCATGTTGCTATTTTAACAAACCAGACTGATTGCTGGGTATGTGCTCCAACTCCACTGTCCCCCAAAACGGGAATGCCCCTTGACATGCTGCCCCTGACCCTAGCAGAATTAGCCACCACCAAAGAGCAGGAAAGAATGAACTCACCGTTCTGGAACGAGACCTCTTTACAGCAAGCCACCTATCAGGACCAGGAGTATTCAGTTGCAGTACTCACTGAGGGAGTGTTATGTTTTACCCAAAGCCAATCTGATCACTATGGGCGTCCTGTGGGAAAGAGCTCCTGTTATCACACAGTGGGCTGATGGGTATTGGATAAAGACCAAAAGGGGAGGCCAGCAGTGTGGGTGTAATGGTTCCTCTCCTTTTAGGGAAACTCTTACAAATAATCTTACCACAGAAAAGGGGTTTGGAAATATAACTTGCCGTCCAGTTAATATCTCCAACGTAGCAACCCAATGGTGGGTTTGTAGTGGTCCCTATGGCGAGTGTAATTTGAACGGCACAATTAGAAACGCCCCCCCTTGTACCCAATCAGGAGGATGGGATGCCCCCCTAGGGGCATATGAACTGGAAAAGCAGCCTTAAATATCCCAGGAATCCCCTTAAGAAACAGTCCTTACTGGGCCCTACAGGGTCACTATTTTGTATGTGGCCGAAAGGCTTACAAGGTGCTGCCAGCCAACTGGACAGGTAGCTGTTATATAGCTCATGGGAGTTCCTCATCTTTCCATAACTGCCACGCTGCCCAAAGGAAAGATTAGAAATGCCCGACACCTTTGTTGTGTCACGAGAAAAGACCCTGCGGCGACTGACTACGGCATTGGAGGGCAATATGAAGAATTCCCTCACAACCGAGAAGCTGGTAGGGTGCTCTGTACTGGGAATAGCGCCACTGGTTTCCGGGCCAGCCATGGCATGCATAGGCCACCATACTATAAGGCTGCAGATGGTACTTGAGAAGGTGGCCTTAGAGTTAGAGGACTCGGTTAGTAATTTAGGGTCAGCAGTAAAAACATTAAATAAAGAGGTACAGCAGCTCAGGACGTTTTCCCTCCAAAACAGGCTGGCTTTGGACTATCTCTTGGCATCCCAAGGAGGGGTTTGTGCCCTCGTCAGGCCCCGATGTTGTGTATATGTAAATGATAGCAGTTATGAGATCTATGACAAGGTGGTACAGGCTGAGGCCCATGCCCGAGCCAGAGCACAGGTTGCCTATACTGCCCCCGAGAGCGATTGGTTGCAAACCTTGTTTTCAGGCTGGGGTTTGTCGTTTTGGCTTGGTGGTTTATTTAGCCTGTTATTGAAAGTTCTCTTTCCTGTATTGCTTGTATTACTGGTATTGTGCTGTGCAGTCTCATGCGTTAGGGCCCTTTTGCAAAAGTTAATAAGTCACTCTCTTCAGGCTATCACAGAGTGCTTATGCAAAGTCCTATTGTAAAGAAATAAGTAGCCCAAGTTAGAAAACTCAGAGCCAAGGTTGTTGAGTGTTCTCAAAGGGGGGAGTTGTTGGGGACAGTGGGGCATGGCCACTAGGTAACTTGAGGGGATGGAAGACCACGAGTGGCGATGAAGCCCCCTCGCACTAGGCCCAGGTGTCCTTGGCCCCCGCCTGGAGGCACTCGCAGCAGCTCTGCGTACTAGGCCCAAGTGTCCTTGGCCCCCCCGCCTGGAGGCACTCACAGCAGTTATGCTGAGGATCTGCAACAATATGCTGCGGAGTCAGATTGCCTGAAACTAAGCAAGGCCAAACAGGGCAGATATGGAAGAACAATGCTGAATAAAGCAGCTTTATGTATAGTTTAACAGATGATACAGAGAACCAGGGAACTAGCTGGGAACTGGATTGGCTGGCTATATGGATACTTGGGGCAGCTTGCTATTGGATAAGTATGCTGGGAAAAAGGATGTATAAAAGCCTGTGTAACTTCCTGCTTTGGGTGCAGGATTTGAGATTTTATTCTCCCTGTACCTTTTTGCAGCTGCAAATAAACTTTTCTGCTTCTCCACCCCGTTGTGATTATTGGGTGTAGCACACTGGGTAACGAACCACTCAAGCTGTTGTTCAGCCTCTCGGCACTAGGTGCCGGCAACATTAGGGATCACTGTGCAGGATAAGATCAGTCTCAGAGAAGCTCCTTTTATTAACACAGGCTTAAAGAAGAAATGTGGAGGGAAAATATCTTCAAGAGGGAGAGAATGAACGAATAGGAACAAAACATGAACAACAGAGTGTTAATAGGCAGGCAAGGCATTTCCAGCCTTAGGAGTGCATTGGTGAGAGCCTGAACCAAGCTCGAGGCACTGCCCTGCTGGTATCCATTCGGAGTTAGTCACCCCATCCTTGCCTTGCTCTCTTGAGCAATAAGGACCTCCCATCAGTAAAGTCTGACTAACCCATGCCAGGTGCTTGGCTCCCACTGCACTAGCCATAGTGTGAGACAAATGGGAGGGGGGTCCTGCGAAGGACCACGTGGAGGTCTTGTAGCAGGCCGGCCTTGCTCCCGCCCTGGCCTAGCCCTACCTTGTACAGTAGCAAGGCTGCAGCAGAGTGTGGAGAGGAGCTTAAGGAGATTACTGTATATTCAATCCTAGCAGCTACAGTAACTGCTTTAATTCCTGCTGCTCCTGGCCCACCTGTCTCCTGTGCTGCTCCTGTTGGCCACAGGCCAAGTCTCTTCTGGAGAGGCAGACCCAACAGGCCACTCAGGACAGCAAAGAGGCTGGGGCAGTACCCAGCTTTAGTGAACAACAAAACCCTCCGCAAGTAGAAGAAGGATGCTTCTCTCCAGTCAGCCCAGGAGTGGAAAGGTGAAGGGGGTTACACTGACCACCGCAGTCAGTATGAAGCAAAGGAACCAAAAGCCCCCAAGGTTAAGGAGTCCATCAGTACAGCTCCCTGCTTTACCCAGAATCCCACATGATTGATACAGACCCCTCAGGTCAGTCAGCTGCCAGCTCTGACAGTTGTTTGGTCTGCAGGGTATTTCCCCTCTAGGTGTGAGTCTGTTGGTGGCAGGTCAGGTGTGATGGCTGCCTGAACCTCCTCCCACACTCCAGGCACTGAAAGGGCCTCTCTCCCCTGTGGATGCGCTGGTGTCTGGTGAGGCTGGATGAATGGCTGAACCTCCTCCCACACTCCAGGCACTGAAAGGGCCTCTCTCCCGTGTGGATGCGCTGGTGGCCGGTGAGGCTGGATGAATGGCTGAACCTCCTCCCACACTCCAGGCACTGAAAGGGCCTCTCTCCCGTGTGGATGCGCTGGTGGCCGGTGAGGCTGGATGACTGGCTGAACCTCCTCCCACACTCCAGGCACTGAAAGGGCCTCTCTCCCGTGTGGATGCGCTGGTGGCCGGTGAGGCTGGATGACTGGCTGAACCTCCTCCCACACTCCAGGCACTGAAAGGGCCTCTCTCCCGTGTGGATGCGCTGGTGTCTGGTGAGGCTGGATGACAGGCTGAACCTCCTCCCACACTCCAGGCACTGAAAGGGCCTCTCTTCCCTGTGGATGCGCTGGTGGCCGGTGAGGCTGGATGACTGGCTGAACCTCCTCCCACACTCACAAGGATAGGACTTCTCTCCTGTGTGGCTCTGCTGATGTCTAACCTGGTGCGATGGCCTGTGGAAGTTCTGCCCACACTCACTGCAGGAATACCACTTCTGTCTGCGACCGCCACCTCCCTCCTCCCCTGTTTTGCTCTGTGAATGTGGCTCCCCTATTGTGTCCCTCCACTGCTGTGGAGGCAGGTTTGACAGTAAACCAAAAGCCTCTCTACCTCCAACACCTTCCCTCTGCCCTTGCAAGTGTGGTTCCTTTCCCCACGTGCCTTTGCTGAGGGAGCTGGGGTTTGGTGCGAGCTGCTGTGATGGTGGATTCCCCGGGAAGGAAAGACCTCTGGTTTTAGGGCAAGATTCCCCTCCCAGAGCACCTTCGTCTTCTTCAGTCTGCAATTTGGTAGGCAGGTGCTTACGCTTCAAGTGTGGGTGGAGGTAATCTTTGCTGCTGCAAGCCAGCCTGCAGCGAGGGCATGGATGGCAGTGTGGATCCTGCCCATGCACTGTCCAAAAAACAAACCAGAATTCAGGTAGGAAATGGCAATTGTTCCAACATGCTGGCCCTTCCAGAGGCTTTGCACTACTATCCTGCCACATAGGAAGGGCCAAGAACACCAGACAATTAGTGACACTCAGACTTTAGTTTTAGGATATAAAATAAACCGTTCCCTGTAGTACCAGACCTAATGTGGGACTCCTCCCTAGGGTTCAGTTCTATCCCCTGACAGTTGGCCAGATTCAGACCTAAAGCTGGGACAACTGTGCCTGGTTGTTCTAGGTCACTGCTATGAGTGTCATTTTCTTTCTCTCCTCTCCCAGCTGTTGGGGGTTCTGGTCCCGGGCAACTCCTCTGTCCCAAGACCAGCGGAGTAAGCCATGGCAAAGAGTTGTATCTATAAGCATTTCTGAGTTGTATCTCCAAGCATTTATGTCTACACTGGCACTTGAACAAAACTTTTATCATTCAGAGGTGTTAACCCCCCCAAAAAAGACAAAAGTTTTGCCGACAACAAGCACCAGTGTGAACAGCGTGCTCCTGCAGACAATGCAAATGCTACTCCTTAGGGGTGGAAGTTTGTCAGCAGGAGAGCTGACAAACAGTGGCTATGCTGCACAACTTTTAGCAGCATGGGTGTTGCAATACAGGCATGTTGCTAAAAGCTGTGTAATGTAGACATAACCTATATTGCCCGTCCCTGTAGTACTTAAAACGAAAGGCAGACTGTCTCCTCACACTGGTGGCCCCCTGGAGCCTCCTTCCTCCCCTCACTGTGCGGGACAGGCTGTAGGCACAACCCCTGCTGGGTGTTTCCCAGTGATGGGAGTGCACTGATCAGCACTCTGCTAGCTCTGCCTAGTCCGAGGATCACTGTGTGACCCTGGAGGCTCTACTGCAGATTTCAGTGGCAGTAGAGACATAGGGGCTTTGACCGGCCCCTCGCTACACCCCATCCTCCAAAGCCTTCTCCCGCCTTTAAGCTTTTTTTTTTTTTTTTTTTAAATCTCCAAAACAAGAAAAAAAAAAGCCATCTGGTACTGGTTTAATTTCTGAACTCTGGGATTCTATACAGTGAGGGTGATAGGTGGCTTTGCACCCACGGTAACATTTATGCTGCTTCTAGCCACCCTGTGCAGATCATCCGATAGCCAGTCAGAGAAACTCTAGCCTAGTTGCTTAGTTTAACTTTAAATACTGTTTTTAGTCCCAGCCTTCACCTCTTAATATAAAGCAGATGCTGGGGTCGGAGAGGGTTGGGTAATAAATCACACGCAGAGCAGGAGGGACAACTGACAGTGTTTCAGCTGTTGCACTGACCTGCTGAGCAGTTCCTAGTCTTTGTGTCTCCTCATGAATCCAAGAATTTTTCAACCATTTTGATATCAGGGACCTGCTTGCTGCCTTCCTAAACTGTGTCAGGGAGATCCCAGCAACTGGTGCTAGCCCACAGACTGGTCATTGAGAATCACTGAGCTACAGGATTCCCCCCCTGGTGTGTGTGTGTGGGGGGAGAGGTGGTGTCAGTAACTGAGCAAAAGGCAACTGAAGTGGGAGATTCAGGGCAGCAGCTGCTCTAAATTGGACCATCACCTAGAGCAGGGGTAGTCAATAGGCGGACTGCAGGCCAAATCTGGACCACCAGATGCTTTTGAATGGACCATGAAATCTTTTTACTTGTCATTATTGTTATTGCAATGTGAAAAAATGTTTCTCTGGAGTCTGGACCTTGGCTACACCTTGACCAAGAGACATGGACCTTGACCAAAACAAACCGACTACACCTGTTCTAGGGATAGCAGGAAGCTCCCATAATTAGACTCATTCCGACCACTAGTGGCAGGTGCAGCATCTCCTTTCACCAGCTTCCCTCAGCACATCTGCACTCAAGATGGGCTCTCTAGCATAAGCATTTACCCGTGGGCATTCATGACTGATGTCAGGATAAGAAATGAAAGTTCCTGGTTATTAGAAATTGTGTCATCTCAAAACAAGCCAAGGGAAGCTTGTAGCTAGAGCAAGGCTACAGTCTGGTACCTTTGGGTGGCGCTGCACTTTTCCATCTCGTGCCCCACTTGATGCCCAGCTCCTTGCCATATTCATCCCCGTACCAGACCAGAAGCTCACAATGGGGCAGGATGGCCCTGCACACTCTATAGTAGATTTTCCCACGATACTGGAAAGCGACAAGGTTCTGCTCTTCCTCATCCCTAGCACAGTTAACATACCTGGACAGTCACAGTTAGGAAAGTGATTTGTTAAATACAATGGTCTTCAGTCAGGGAAGTGCCAACCTGAAAACTAGGCAATCAAACAGTGAAATAACCACAATACTTCTGTATTTTCCTTAATGGGGATTAATAGGTTATTGGTCCATGCCAGGAGATTTCAGAGCCTAGCCAGTAACATCTGAAAGCTGCGTCAGGTGTTTTGGAAGCTCATCCACTCCCACTAAGTCTATGAAAGTGAGATGACTTGGAGCCAAAAAAAAAATCTGTACAACTTTTATAGAAAGGAAATTCTGATGAATGAAGCTTCCTCAATATGCTTCTCTGTGTCTGGGTATTGGAGGGCTAATGCTGTCTCTCTCCCTAACCAGGCGGGCACTTTGTTTTGGGGTTTGTGTTGCAATCTTAATGCTGAGAATATCATGTTGTGAATGCTAACAGGATTGGGTAAATAACTGCATGCTTAGTGATGGATTGGGTGTGCTGCAGCCTGTAAAAATGAATCCTGTGTCTTCAAACACCTGAAACACTGACTATCCTAGAGCTAACATTCTGTGATTGTACTGATGAGGATAGGAGTACAGGGACTTACCTCATCCAGTTGGCATTCGTTTCATCCTTTCCATCAATGTATACATACCAGTTTCTTCCCTTGGTGATCTGGAGTTGAACCAAACAAGACACACAGGAATCAATAAGGCATTCTCCATACAGAGAATATGATAAATAAGTGACAAGTTGTGACGAAGTGGGAATGTTCTTAATGTTTTCTCTGAATACTGTGTGGGTGCCTCAGTTTCCCCTATGCATTTAAGTATCTAGGTGATGGGATAAGGGTGTGTGATTGTTGCAGAGCCTTAGAGGGCCAGTGTGATGCTGTCTGCACAGAGAAAGGCCGACACCCTGTCTCCTGGCAACTGATGGCTTGGGCTCCTCCTCTGCAAAGGTGCCAACTGAAGGGGCTGGAGAACAAAGATCAGGTGGCCTCCTGGCCCAGGAAAGAGACAAAGGCCAGAGGAGGGGAGGGAGAGTTTTTAGTTTGGAGCTGTCTGGGGAAATGGAGGGAGGCCCAGATGGGGCTCTGGCCTCCCTGCCACCCAAGATAGAGCTGACTGAGGGGTCCTGTTCTCTGTACCTACAAGCTCTGTGTTAGACCATGTTCCTGTTGTCTAATAAACCTTCTGTTTTACTGGCTGGCTGAGAGTCATGTCTGACTATGGAGGTGGGGTGCAGGCACCACTGGCTTCCCCAGGAGGCCCGCCTGTGCAGACTCGCTGTGGGAAGTGCATGGTGGGGCAGGGGATGCTGAATGCTCTGAGGTCAGGCCAGGAAGGTCGAAGCCGTGTAGGCTTTTTGCCCTGGAGACAGTCTGCTCAGAGAGGAGGCTCCCCCAGAGTCCTGACTGGCTTCGTATGGAGTAGTTCCAGAGTATTGCCCAGTGACTCCGTGACACAAGTGTCGTGCTTTGGGTTCATTATGTCCTGAACACAGTTCAGAAGAAATCCTGCAAGTGTGAATACACACAGAACAGACAGGGCCAAACAGTGCTCACAGTGACAATCCCAATGAACTTAAGGAGGCTGCATAGTGTAACTGAGGCTTTGTCTACACTTGGAACTTTGTCAGCAAAACTTTTGTCATTCAGGGATGTTAAACCCCCCCCGAAGGACAAAAGTTTTACCAACGAAAAGTGCTGGTGTGAACAGCACTTTGTCAGCGGGAGAGCTCTTTCCAACCGACAAACAGCAGCTACAACATGGAACTTTTAGTGGCATGGCTGTAGCAGCACAGCTGTGTCACTAAAAGGTGTGTAGCGTAGACAAAGCCTGAGATCAGAACCTGGGCCTTCAAACAGTGTCTCCCAACAAACTTTGAAAGCTGAGCCTGCCACCAGCATCAGGAAAGTTAAAGCAACTGCACCCTGCTAGGAAAGTGCCATGTGTTAAAGGCCTAAACATATTAATGGCTACATTTCCCAAGCCCCTCATGCCACCTCCCTGACAGACACTGAGAAATGCTGATGTATCATCATACTAATAAAACATGAATTAATAAAACAGAGTGAGAGTTCAGTGCCAAGGAGCATACTTCCTCTCCTTCCTTTCACACTTTGATGAGCTAGAACATAGCACAGTGTTGTAATAGAAACAAAAGCGTCATGAGCAATTCATACCAGCCAAGAATAGCCGTTGTGGGCTGCCTCCTCCTCCTCTGTTATCCTTCCGTCGTATGGGCCAAAATGAACTCCAACCGGCAGGGTGTCTGCCTCATTCCAGACTCCAAGCCCCGCCTGTGGGATACTTGAAAGCCCAATTCTCATCCCTGGGGGCAAAGTGAGAGCTGCTCTCCTTTCCTGTCCTGTTTCTACTATTGGGTCTCTGATGAAAACTGGAGGGCCATGAACTGAACACTCGTCAATGAAGAATGTCAGGCAATCCTCACAAACTAGAGGAGGAAGAGAAACAGAACATTGACTCCATCAGTTAGTTTCTCAGCTCCATCTCCCCTATCTGCATACCAGACCATTAACCCCATCACACAGGCCCTAGTGCACACAGGTGGCTGGGTTACATACTAGATAGCTGCACTCCAGCTGCTGCACATTGGCTGAATTGAAGAGAGTCTGAAGTTTTTCCCCCCACATTTCCGAGGCACATTTTCAGAGAATTTCTGTCAGGTGGTATATTGCTTCCAGCAAGCACTCAGTGGAAAGTGGACACAGCAACCTGTTTAGCTATGCAGGTCGCTGTGAACATGTCACCCAATGCTTAGCGCTCTGCACTGGCTCCTTATAGAATAGACAGTCCAATTCCAGGTCTCTCCTCATATTAAGAGCCCTCTGTGGGAGAGAGTTACGTTCCATCAGAACAATGAAACTCTTGACCAAGAGGAGAGTTTCATGAGTTCAGGAGACAACTATCACAGGAGCTAGGCCAAGACTATGGAACTCAGTGCCACAAGAGTTAAGGAGGACTTTCAGAATTAAATACAAAACTTTTATTTTGAACCACCCCTCCTCCAGCTATTTCTCCTGCATGGTTAATAGGAATAATCTGTATCTCTTTATTCCTTTTCTTAAATACTTTTAAGGTGCTCAGATACTATAGTGCAGGGGGCCATATAAGGAAAAATATTAGGGGCTCAAAGAGAAAGAAACCATGTGACTTACATAAGTAATCATCATCTTGTGGTTCACTTATTTCAACGTACACTTTTTTCTCTCTCTTTCGTAAGCTGTATGTGTTAACTTGGGAGCTCTGCCCTTGGGTTTTAGAAACTGCTAACCTGGGTAGATCTAAAAGGGGAATTATACTGAGTAGGTTAGTCTGTGCAGTACCAGAACTGATAGAAATAAATAGGCAATGGCATTTTCAGACCTAAATCTCATTTATATTGAGGCTGCTTTACACAGCAAAGTGGCTACAGAATATGTAAGAATCAGGCCCTTTGCACATGAAAACATATATAAATATGAGCCATACCACAGTTTCTAGGAGCTGAGCACTAAAAACCACTGCTGACTCTGACACTTCCTGACTATAATTGATTAAGCAGTGACATTGTCTCCTTAAATTTGTGTCTAGCTCACTGTCCTCTGATCTTAGTGCCAACAGCCTCAGGTGGGCTGGTATGCGAGAATTCAGACCCAAGCAAAACAGCAAAAAGAGGCCAGTCTGTTTCCTGATGACCATGCTTCGCACTGGCAAGATTGACTCAGGCCGGGTTAGATGTCTAGTGTTGGTTTCCTATGGCAATAACAGGAGTGCCATGGAGACTCACCCTGCCTTGCATCACCCAACAGTACCCTAAGCAACCAGTTGAAGGCAATCCCATCAAGTTGGTGGCTGTGAGCTTAGGTGCTGAGGGATGGACTCAGGGACTGAGAGCTCAAGGGAAAAGCAGCAGTAAGAATAGCTGTGGTATTGAATTGGACTTCACTATAATCAGAGATATTTCCATGTTTCCACAGATAATGAGATTTACATGTCCCTCTGTAACCCCTGGCATGCAGAGAGCTCCTCCCACCAAATCTCATAGGCTGCAGACCTAATAGTCCTCAGAGCGACCATGAAAATACAGAGGAGATTTGCCCACATTCTGGGCTTACCAGTTTTCAGATCAACAACATTAGTGACAGGGATTCTGGTGCCCACATCTGAATTTTTGTCCAATTTCTCAGCATTGGTTTGATTTTCAGAGACTTCCTTCTCAGAGGCCTTCTCCAGCATTGTCTTTTCATTCTGCACACAAAGTCGTTTTCCATTACAATAATTGTACTGTTCTGGTTCTCTCTACCCAGAGCCTGTCATGTAGAGAAACTAACATACAAAAGACTACAAGGAACAGATGGCCATGTAAAAATAGTTTGACCACTGCAGCAATGGAGTACCTTCTCCAGGTCAGACATGGCACAGCAGCTCTCCCCAAATGGCACCCCCTGCTGACAGGTTTCAGAGTAACAGCCGCATTAGTCTGTATTCGCAAAAAGGAGTACTTGTGGCACCTTAGAGACTAACCAATTTATTTGAGCATAAGCTTTCGTGAGCTACAGCTCACTTCATCGGATGCATACTGTGGAAACTGCAGAAGACATTATATACACAGAGACCATGAAACAATACCTCCTCCCACCCCACTCTCCCGCTGGTAATAGCCCATCCAAAGTGACCACTCTCTTTACAATGTGTATGATAATCAAGGTGGGCCATTTCCAGCACAAATCCAGGTTTTCTCACCCCCCACCTCCAAAAACCACACACACAAACTCACTCTCCTGCTGGTAATAGCTTATTCAAAGTGACCACTCTCCCTACAATGTGCATGATGTCCATTTTTATGGCTGATTTAGAACAACGCTTCCTCAGCTCTCGTCCCCTAAAGCCCCTACTCTACTTGCGCTATATTGATGACATCTTCATCATCTGGACCCATGGAAAAGAAGCCCTTGAGGAATTCCACCATGATTTCAACAATTTCCATCCCACCATCAACCTCAGCCTGGTCCAGTCCACACAAGAGATCCACTTCCTGGACACTACAGTGCTAATAAACAATGGTCACATAAACACCACCCTATACCGGAAACCTACTGACCACTATTCCTACCTACATGCCTCCAGCTTTCACCCAGACCACACCACACGATCCATCGTCTACAGCCAAGCTCTGCGATACAACCGCATTTGCTCCAACCCCTCAGACAGAGACAAACACCTATAAGATCTCTATCAAGCATTGAGCTGTAGCTCACGAAAGCTCATGCTCAAATAAATTGGTTAGTCTCTAAGGTGCCACAAGTACTCCTTTTCTTTTTGCGAATACAGACTAACACGGCTGTTACTCTGAATACCTACCTGCGGAAGTGAAGAAACAGATTGATAGAGCCAGAAGAGTTCCCAGAAGTCACCTACTACAGGACAGGCCTAACAAAGAAAATAACAGAACGCCACTAGCCGTCACCTTCAGCCCCCAACTAAAACCCCTCCAACGCATTATTAAGGATCTACAACCTATCCTGAAGGATGATCCAACACTCTCACAAATCTTGGGAGACAGGCCAGTCCTTGCCTACAGACAGCCCCCCAACCTGAAGCAAATACTCACCAACAACCACATACCACACAACAGAACCACTAACCCAGGAACCTATCCTTGCAACAAAGCCCGTTGCCAACTGTGCCCACATATCTATTCAGGGGACACCATCACCCTGAATTCAGGGGATAACATCAGCCACACTATCAGAGGCTCGTTCACCTGCACATCCACCAATGTGATCTATGCCATCATGTGCCAGCAATGCCCCTCTGCCATGTACATTGGTCAAACTGGACAGTCTCTACATAAAAGAATAAATGGACACAAATCAGATGTCAAGAATTATAACATTCATAAACCAGTCGGAGAACACTTCAATTTCTCTGGTCATGCAATTACAGACATGAAGGTCGCTATCTTACAACAAAAAAACTTCAAATCCAGACTCCAGCGAGAAACTGCTGAATTGGAATTCATTTTCAAATTGGATACTATTAATTTAGGCTTAAACAGAGACTGGGAGTGGCTAAGTCATTATGCAAGGTAGCCTATTTCCCCTTGTTTTTTCCTACCCCTCCCCCAGATGTTCTGGTTAAACTTGGATTTATGCTGGAAGTGGCCCATCTTGATTATCATACACATTGTAAGGAGAGGTTTCAGAGTAACAGCCGTGTTAGTCTGTATTCGCAAAAAGAAAAGGAGTACTTGTGGCACCTTAGAGACTAACCAATTTATTTGAGATCATGAAACAATACCTCCTCCCACCCCACTCTCCTGCTGGTAATAGCTTATCTAAAGTGATCACTCTCCTTACAATGTGTATGATAATCAAGGTGGGCCATTTCCAGCACAAATCCAGGTTTTCTCACCCCCCACCTCCAAAAACCACACACACAAACTCACTCTCCTGCTGGTAATAGCTTATCCAAAGTGACCACTCTCCTTACAACCTGAAGCAAATACTCACCAACAACCACATACCACACAACAGAACCACTAACCCAGGAACCTATCCTTGTGTGTGGAGGGGCGGAGGGTGAGAAAACCTGGATTTGTGCTGGAAATGGCCCAACTTGATTATCATACACATTGTAAGGAGAGTGATCACTTTAGATAAGCTATTACCAGCAGGAGAGTGGGGTGGGAGGAGGTATTGTTTCATGGTCTCTGTGTATATAATGTCTTCTGCAGTTTCCACAGTATGCATCCGATGAAGTGAGCTGTAGCTCACGAAAGCTTATGCTCAAATAAATTGGTTAGTCTCTAAGGTGCCACAAGTACTCCTCTTCCCCCTGCTGACAGTCGCTCCATCACCGCAGCAATCTCTCTTCCCATAACTTGGCCTTCTTGCCAGGTCACACTTTAGTCCACCCCTTCCAGGGCAACAGAAAGCCCAACATCCTCACCAAAGGATCTTTGGGCCTCCAACATGAGGCCTCTGGTCCTCACATCTTTACCTCAAAGTTTTCCAGTGTCCTTGTCCCCTCCTCTGGGCTCATGACACTTTACCAGTGGCAGATAGGGGAGCCTGGGCCCTTCCACTACACCAGGTCCCAGCCCAGGAACCCTAGCCCAGGGGCAGGGAACCTACAGCCCACAGGCTAGATCCAGCTCTTTGTTTAATTTCATCTGGCCTATGGCAAGTCTCAGCACCACGGGCTGGAAGCCCCGAGCCTCAGTGCCCCCCCATGAGTGCCTGCTCGCCCCACCAGGGGTGGGAAGCTTTGGCACCCCCCCCCACAGGGCTGTATGTGGCCCACGACTGATTTTTTTCTGTGAGTCAATGGCCCAGTGATAGAAAAAAGGTTCCCTAGGCCTGCTTTAGCCAGTGGTTCAGCTCTACTCCTTGCTGCTGCTGCTGCTGTTTCCCTGGACTCCTTCCTAGCCAGCCTCTCTCAGGCTTGGCCTTTTAAGGCCCTTAGTCTGTTCCTCCACAGAGCCCCATCCAAAGTACTCTCTCCTCTTCCTAGCAGTCTGACTCCAAATCCCTCCCTTCTTTCAGGGCACACCCCCAGTCCCTTCTCCTCTCCATGGCTCCCTTCTCCCCAGCTGCTTATCAGCCTCCTCTATTCCCGCTAGGATGCCAGGGCTTAGATTATTCACCTATTTGGCCTCTACCTTACCACCTCCTTAATCCCCTAGAACGATTATAGACATTCACTCTGCGAGTTGCTTCCTTTCTTTATCCTAACCAACCTGCTTTTGCCCAGCTGGGCTTCATGATCAGCCACACCTGGCTCTCCCTCCAGGTGCACCAAGGTAATATAACTCACCCCTCAGGCCCACATTAATCCATTCAGGGCTAATGTGGGGTTCACACCTCATCACAGGGCCTCATACAATTTGACTTGAATATTCTCTTTGGTGGCCTTTGATAATCCAAAGGGATATATGGAGGGTGAGAGGCAAGGAGCAAGTTATCTACAAGGCTTAAAATACAGATATTTACCTACTGAACTCTTCACTAAGGTGATTTGATATTTGCCTAATCTGATACTGTGTCTACTGTATAAAGCCAGTCAAAAGCTTTTAAATAAAATTTTAGAATGGAAAAATGGTCTTTGTGTAAAAAAACAACAAACAAATAAATTGTTTCACAAAAAAGTTGACTTTTCCATTTTTTGTTACATTGTTCATAACATTTTAATATTTTTTTGAAAATGTTTTTGAAATTGTTACCCAAATAGTTAGTGAAATGTTTCCATTTTTCAGCCAGCTCTACTTTGGAATAAAAAATTCTGTGCTCTACCATCGTAAGACCCTCTACCAACCAGTAGGGGGCGTATCAGTCTTGCCAGGAAGTATTCTGTCCCAATGTTACAATCCTGATGTAACTGTTGATGTTGCTCTGGACTCCCATTCCGGCAGAAAGTTTGTGGCTTGCCTGTATTAGACATCTCCCCTCTGAAATTTGCCACGTCAAGAAGCAGCCTTGAAGTGAATTTGTTTCTATCTGCAATGTGTTTGAGTCCACTGGCAGAAACTCAACAATTCCACTGAGATATTCTGAAAAATGATCCTCAGTCTTAAAGCTTTTCTTGGCCTTTTATATAAATGCTTTTTTCTCCCCTTCCCCATCTTGTATATGCATCCTATTGGTGTATATAACTATTTTTACAATCATTTGATTGAGGTTCTGGGTTTTAATTATTACATTTAACATTAATTATTTAATTGATAATTGTGGTCCAAGAACCTCTTTGTGTCAACTGGCAGAGGACAGAGGGGGCATAGACTATTACAGGGATCCCTGCGACAAGTATATGCACCATAGTTCACAAAGAGTAGCATGCAAGGTCTCTACCAGGTGCCAATAGGTAGATCATCATAATCATGAAAGGTATGTAAGGATAATATTTAAGAAGTTATGTACCTATACTGGAAATTATGTTCTTAATGCCTTGAAGTTAAAAGCAGGTCACTGAGCGGTAACAGGCCTCAGACAAGTTCTGTTCAGGCAGGGTCGGAGGCCCTAATCTCTCTGGCCAATCATGTGTGTCTCACAAGGTACATCTATCTGCATACGGAGCCACCAGCCAACCAAGATTGTGAAAAAGACAAGGGATCCCAAAATCGAAGGGACACAGCAGGAGAGCATCTGGTTTATGAATGAAGATGAAAGGACTGTTTTGCTATATTTGGGGCTGCATATCCGGCATCTAGGGACAAGCTGATGCAGCAGCTTGTCTCATGAAAAGGGGATCACAGCCGACCTGATTGAAAAGTGCTGGTGATCAATACTTTATTAAAGCTGAGGGTATCTTGTTAATTAAGTCTAGGCTCTAAAAAGCATGTTATGATTTTATCTGTAACCATTTGTTTCCAGTATTTCTACTTGCTATCATTTGATTGAACTTGGATTTGTTCTCACTATAACCTCTGCTGCATGTTAAGCAGAGCAGTGATCTGAGGTGTAACTGGTAAACTGGGGTGTCCTGTGCCTTTGGGAACAGCTGTGACTGTGACTACTGTGAGTGGCCAGTGGAACAGGGGCTGCCTGCTCCAGGGGGATGCACAGAGGGCTTGGAAAGTGCCTATCTCTGCCCTGCAGAGGGACAGCAAAGCCTGCTTAGGCTGAGAGGGGAGTGCTTGTGGTGCCTGGGGCTCCTGGAATCAGGGAGCTGATCCACAACAAGTACAGACAAGATTGCCTCATGCTAAGAGCAGGTGGTAGTGAGGTGCCCCACAGCCCTCGTACCCCTAGGAAGTGTCATAATAATTATTTCATTATTAGTTGACTCAGCAGTATAACTAGCACATAAAAAGCACTTTTCATGTCACTGTAGAGGCATTTGTTAATTAAAAATGGGGTTCACCTCCTCTATAAGATTCCTTATCTAAGCAAAAAGTACTTAGTAAGCTTACTTGACTGACGTTCTGCCTTTTCTTTTTTTCCTGTTTCATACTGCCAGATTTACATGGTGGCCTGAAGGTTTTAACTGTAAGTGTAAAACAAACAAACAAACCAAACACGTTCCCAAATGCTGCACGACCAACATTACCGAAATTGTAAGTGTCACAGGCAGGAAGCTGCCAGCCGTTTCATGTTCTGACTTACTGTCACAGAATCACAGAAATCAGAGATAGAGAAGCTCTAAGGAAGTCGTCTCAGCCCTCCCCAACCACTATGTAGCTGTTACAATATAACTGGTTTCACTGTGCAAGGTAACAATTTAACAAAGCAAGGTGTAGAGGTCAGGATGTTAGGTTAATGCTTTGTTATGTAAGAAACTGCTATTCACTCATCATAAAATTATTTAATATTTATAAATAACATACAGCGTGAGTGCTTGAAGCAGCCTTTGACTTAGCAGCAGTTTGAATCTATCTGAACCCATAAGTCCCAGGGTGTCACAGAGTGGTTCAGACCCTTTGAACTTCTCTGTACATGTTCCACATTTCATGCTGCCTCGCTGCTGATACAGGATGTTTGTGAATAAAAAATAAACTGTTCATTTTTTAACCTGAATGCCCCAGATTAGAGCAAGGAGAGCCTCAAGTTGCAACCCTTGTGGTAAATTAAAGTGTCATGTTAAGGAGCTCCAAAGTGAATCTTCTCCAGTTCTCCACAGCTAGAAGGGTGAAAAGGGCAACATGAGACCTTTGAGGCTGGGGACTATGTGGCAAGGAGCTGATTCCCCCAAGGATCTTTCAGTCATTGGAGATGCCCAGTAATGATAGCTCATTAAAATGAAGAGTCACTTCTTTGCTCTAAGAAAAGGAGGACTTGTGGCATCTTAGCCCTGGTCTACACTAGGACTTTAGGTCGAATTTAGCAGCATTAAATCGATGTAAACCTGTACCCGTCCACACGATGAAGCCCTTTATTTCAACTTAAAGGGCTCTTAAAATCGATTTCCTTACTCCACCCCTGACAAGTGGATTAGCGCTTAAATCGGCCTTGCTGGCTTGAATTTGGGGTACTGTGGACACAATTCGACGGTATTGGCCTCCGGGAGATATCCCAGAGTGCTCCATTGTGACCGCTCTGGACAGCGCTCTCAACTCAGATGCATGATTGTTTGCCATTGCTCTGACGCAGGGAGGGGCGACTGAGGACACGGCTTACAGGGTTGGCTTCAGGGAGCTAAAATCAACAAAGGGGGTGGCTTTACATCAAGGAGTATTTCAGGCAGGACTTCACGGAGGGTTCCAATAAGAAATGGTGCACCTAAGTTATTGTTCTTATTGGAACAAGGAGGTTAGCCTGGCCTCTGATTGATACATGGTTAGATTTACCTCGCTGCACCTTCTCTGTGAGTGACTGCAGTGTGACCTAGAGGAATGAGTCCCCTAGACAGGGGAGGGGGGGAAGCAAATGAGTACAAAACAAGTCTGGTCTATTTCTTGTTTTGATCCACTCCATCTATCTTTTACATCTTTGGCTGGCAGCAGACGGTGCAGAAGGACTGCATGCCATCCACATCTCATGGCTGCTCGGCAGAAGATGGTACAGTACGACTGCTAGCCATCCTCATCTCTTGCCTGCCCGGCAGAAGATGGTACAGTACGACTGCTAGCAATCCGTATCGCCTGCCTGCTCACCATAAGACGGTTCAATAGGACTGACTGCAGGACTAAAGAGAATGACCTGGTCAAGTCACTCCAAATTTAGTCCCTGCGCCCATGTCTGCCCAGGCGCTCCCAGCCGACGTGGCCAGGAGCACCTCAGACACGACGAGGACGGCTACCAGTCGTATTGCACCGTCTGCTGCCAGAAGGCAATGGGTTGCTGCTACTGTGTAGCAATGCCGTACCACGTCTGCCAGCACCCAGGAGACATACGGTGACGGTTACCTGAGCAGGCTCCATGCTTGCCGTGGTATGGCGTCTGCACAGGTAATTCAGGAAAAAAGGCGCAAAACGATTGTCTGCCCTTCCTTTCACGGAGAGAGGGAGGGAGGGAAGGGGGACCTGACGATATGTACCCAGAACCACCCGCGACAATGTTTTAGCCCCATCAGGCACTGGGATCTCAACCCAGAATTCCAATGGGCAGCGGAGACTGCGGGAACTGTGGGATAGCCACCCACAGTGCAACACTCCAGAAGTCGACGCTAGACTCGGTACTGTGGAAGCACTCCGCCGAGTTAATGCACTTAATGCACTTAGAGCATTCTCTGTGGGGACACACACACTCGAATATATAAAACCGATTTCTAAAAAAACGACTTCTATAAATTCGACCTTATTCCGTAGTGTAGACATACCCTTAGAGACTAACAAATTTATTTGAGCATAAGCTTTCGTGAGTTACAGCTCACTTCATAGGATGAATTCCGATGAAGTGAGCTGTAGCTCACGAAAGCTTATGCTCAAATAAATTCGTTAGTCTCTAAGATGCCACAAATCCTCCTTTTCTTTTTGCGAACACAGACTAACACGGCTGTTACTCTGAAACTTCTTTGCTCTGTTACCTAAAGGTTTTGGTGTCCAGTCTTCATCAGACTCAGAGTCGTCTATGATGGGGTTTGGGGGACGTCGACCACGACACATAAATGCAGGTTTCGGGGTAGGAAGGCCTAACAAAGAAATCCATTATAAGCGATAACAGCTGACATGATCTGAGTCTTGCTTATGCAGTGACACCCCTTCCCAACACCTTGCACTGGGAATACAGGCACGGGAACCTGGTGGCAGTGCCATGTGTCCTAATCTGGAAGACCTGTGAGGCTCGCCTGGCACCTCAGGACTCCTACTGCCAGGCCAGAGGGCTTGCAGAAGCCTCAAGTGCCTACAAGGCTCATCACAGAAACAGCAAATGGAGAAGCCAGGACATTCACCTAAGCCTAAGGTCTGAAATGGGAGGTACAGAGTGTGAGTGTTTTCTATACTGGATTTATACTCTGGCTTCTCTCTGCCCCAAAGACACAAACTCTCAATGTCTCTTCCCTCCCAAAACGAGGGAGGAGACTTAAAGGAGGACTAAATACAACATCTTCAACTCTCCAGCTGCTTGTGCCACTTGGAGTTGCCCTTTTCACCCCCAGCTGGCCCTCTCACCGAGTTCAACCATAAACTCATAGTTCCGCTTCATGTTCCTGTAACGGGTTTTCTCCCAGTCTCCCATCTCTGCCCATTGCTCCTTAGGGAAATAGATGGACAGCTCTTTGAATTCATCTTCCACCTAGTCAAGTAAAGAAAAGTGTCACAGGTGTGTTATGTTCACTAGTCACTGTCCAAATTTTCTTCAAGAAAAGGGAACACTTCCTTCCTTCCCTGTCCACCCACCCTAGAACAATAGCAGCAAATCTCTTGGGCAGAGAAATGTGTATGGAAATTGGCCCTGTGCAGCATCTCATCTCCTACCTTTTCCACTGACTGACCATTTGGAATGGAAAAGTGAGGGTCTAATTTTAAATTAATCTCCTGGGCCTGATTATTATCTCTGGCCAGGAGACAGGGAGTGATGGTGCTGGGGGTCTCAGCCCCACGGCTCTTGCCTCCCAAGGCACAGGGGCACGTGCTCCTTCCCCTGCAGGTGGAATCCTAGATGCTCTCCCTTCCTGCAATGGGGAAGATGAGACAAATTTCCCAGCTCCCCATGGGGGTCACCTGCTCCCAGCAGCTGCTCCCCTGGGCTCCTCACCTTGGAACTCTCCCCTGCTTTCCTGCTTTTCTGCTCTTTCCTCTTTTCTGATGCTCTCCCTTCTCCAGCATTGTCACTCATGGTGCCTGACAATTTGTCCTGCCACCCCAGTAAACTCTGTAAGGGGACAATGAAATGAGGGTCCAACAGGTGTCTCTTCCCTTTCTGGAGTTCAGCCCCTTTTGGGATCTTTGGGGTTCAGCCTGTCCTCCTGCCTCACAGGCTCAGCTCAATTTGGGATCTCCTGCCTCACAGGCTTAATCTAGTTGGGGTCTACCCCCATCATCCCATGCAGCTCAGCCCAGGTTGGCGTCTCTCCCCTCTGCCCCGGGGCACAGCCAGGGTTGGCATCTCTCCCCTTGACCCTCAGGCCAGCTTGGCGTCTCTCCCCTCGGCCCCTGGGGCTCAGCCCGGGTTGACGTTTCTCCCCTTAGCCCTGGGGCTCAGCCGGGGTTGGCGTCTCTCCCCTCGGCCCCTGGGGCTCAGCCCGGGTTGGCGTCTCTCCCCTCAGCCCTGAGGCTCAGCCCAGGTTGGCGTCTCTCCCCTCGGCCCCTGGGGCTCAGCCCGGGTTGGCGTCTCTCCCCTCGGCCCCTGGGGCTCAGCCCGGGTTGGCGTCTCTCCCCTCGGCCCCTGGGGCTCAGCCCGGGTTGGCGTCTCTCCCCTCGGCCCCTGGGGCTCAGCCCGGGTTGGCGTCTCTCCCCTCGGCCCCTGGGGCTCAGCCCGGGTTGGCGTCTCTCCCCTCGGCCCCTGGGGCTCAGCCCGGGTTGGCGTCTCTCCCCTCGGCCCCTGGGGCTCAGCCCGGGTTGGCGTCTCTCCCCTCGGCCCCTGGGGCTCAGCCCGGGTTGACGTTTCTCCCCTTAGCCCTGGGGCTCAGCCCGGGTTGGCGTCTCTCCCCTCGGCCCCTGGGGCTCAGCCCGGGTTGACGTTTCTCCCCTTAGCCCTGGGGCTCAGCCCGGGTTGGCGTCTCTCCCCTCGGCCCCTGGGGCTCAGCCCGGGTTGACGTCTCTCCTTAGCCCTGGGGCTCAGCCGGTGCGTCTCTCCCCTCAGCCCTGAGGCTCAGCCAGGGTTGGCGTCTCTCCCCTCAGCCCTGGGGCTCAGCCCGGGTTGGCGTCTCTCCCCTCGGCCCCTGGGGCTCAGCCCGGGTTGGCGTCTCTCCCCTCAGCCCTGAGGCTCACCAGGGTTGGTTTCTCCCCTTAGCCCTGGGGCTCAGCCCGGGTTGGCGTCTCTCCCCTCGGCCCCTGGGGCTCAGCCCGGGTTGACGTTTCTCTCCTTAGCCCTGGGGCTCAGCCCGGGTTGGCGTCTCTCCCCTCAGCCCTGAGGCTCAGCCAGGGTTGGCGTCTCTCCCCTCAGCCCTGGGGCTCAGCCCGGGTTGGCGTCTCTCCCCTCGGCCCCTGGGGCTCAGCCCGGGTTGGTGTCTCTCCCCTCGGCCCCTGGGGCTCAGCCCGGGTTGGCGTCTCTCCCCTCAGCCCTGAGGCTCAGCCAGGGTTGACGTTTCTCCCCTTAGCCCTGGGGCTCAGCCCGGCTTGGCATCTCTCCCCTCGGCCCCTGGGGCTCAGACCAGGTTGGCATCTCTCCCCTCAGCCCTGAGGCTCTGGGGTCGCCCCCCCACCCAGTGACTGGATTGGTCGAACTGGGCTGCACCAGCCTCTTCCCCCACAACCCTTTGCCTTGTTCTACCAGATCCCGCCAAAACCTCTAGCCAATCATAGAGGGGCATCGGTATATTATGGCCAATCATCGCGTGACGAAAGGACGGCGGCCGCCAATCAGCGGGCAGCGCGGGAAAGAGACCTGGTCTCGCGCCCGGCAAAACGCGACTAACGGCTGGGGCGCGAGGCGAGGGGAGAGGAGAGGAAAGGAAACCTGCCCGCCCCCCCCGCCCCGCCCCTAGGCGAGAAGGGCGGGGCATTCCCTCCCCGAAGAGCCGGTCAGCCACGCCCACTCCGCGAGGGGCGGGGGAAGCCCTGCTCGGGCAGTTGGAGGAGAGGGGCATGGAGGTGGGAGGGGTCTCTAGGGGCATTGAGGGGAGTGGGATGGGGGAGGGGTCTCTGGGGGGTGAAGGGAGGGGTCTCTGGGGTGGGACTGAGGGGAGGGGGTCAGAGGCGAGGGGTCTCTAGGGGCATTGAGGGGAGTGGGATGGGGGAGGGGTCTCTAGGATGGGATTGAGGGGAGTGGGATGGGGAGGGGTGGGGATGAGGGGAGGGGATGGGGGAGGGGTTAGGATGGGATTGAGGGGAGTGGGATGGGGGAGGGGTTTAGGGGATTGAGGGGAGTGGGATGGGGGAGGGGTTTTGGGGTGGGATTGAGGGGAGTGGGATGGGGGGGGGGGGCATTGGGGGGGTGGGATGGGGGGGGGTGGGGTGGGATGAGGGGAGGGGGTGGGGAGGGGTGGGGATGGGGGTGGGATGGGGGAGGGGTTCTAGGATGGGATTGAGGGGAGTGGGATGGGGAGGGTCTCTAGGGGCTTTGAGGGGAGTGGGATGGGGAAGGGGTTTCTGGGGTGGGATTGAGGGGAGGGGGTCAGAGGCAAGGGGTCTCTAGGGGGGTTTGAAGGGAGGGGTCTCTGGGGTGGGATTGAGGGGAGGGCGTCAGAGGCGAGGGGTTTCTAGGGGCATTGGGGGGTGGGAGGGGAGGGGTCTCTGGGGTGGGACTGAGGGGAGGGGGTGGGGGAGGGGTTTCTAGGGGAGAGGGGAGTGGGATGGGGAGGGGTCTCTAGGATGGGATTGAGGGGAGGGGGTCAGAGGTGAGGGGTCTCTAGGGGCATTGAGGGGAGTGGGATGGGGGAGGGGTCTCTGGGGTGGGATTGAGGGGAGTGGGATGGGGGAGGGGTCTCTAGGGGCATTGAGGGGAGTGGGATGGGGGGGGGTTTTTGGGGGGGGGGGGGGGGGGGGGGGGGGGGGGGGGGGAGGGGCATTGAGGGGAATAGGATGGGGGAGGGGTCTCTGGGGTGAGATTGAGGGGGAGGGGGTCAGAGGCAAGGGGTCTCTGGGGGGGTTTGAAGGGAGGGGTCTCTGGGGGGGGTTTGAAGGGAGGGGGTCAGAGGCAAGGGGTCTCTAGGGGCATTGAAGGGAGTGGGATGGGGAGGGGTCTCTGGGGTGGGACTGAGGGGAGGGGGTCAGAGGCGAGGGGTCTCTAGGGGCATTGAGGGGAGTGGGATGGGGGAGGGGTCTCTAGGATGGGATGGGGGGGGGGGGGGATGGGATTGAGGGGAGTGGGATGGGGAGGGGTCTCTAGGGGCATTGAGGGGAATAGGATGGGGGAGGGGTCTCTGGGGTGGGATTGAGGGGAGGGGGTCAGAGACGAGGGGTCTCTAGGGGCATTGAGGGGAGGGGTCTCTGGGGTGGGATTGAGGAGAGGAGGTTGAGGGAAGAATCCCAGGGGCCCTGAGAAGAGGGTGCTGGGTAAGGAACCCATAGGGCAGGGGTTCTCAACCTTTATCTTTCTGAGCTGCCCCCCCCCCCCCCCCCCCCCGCCCCAGACGCAGACTGTGCTATAAAAACTCCAGGGCCTAGCTGGGCCACAACAATTGTGTTTCTGCATATACAAGCCAGGGCCGGTGTTAGGGGGTAGCAAGCCGGGCAGTTGTTCTGGGCCCCGCACCACAGGGGCCCTGCGAAGCTAAGTTGCTCAGGCTTTGGCTTCAGCCCCAGGTAGTGGGACTCAGTGCCCCGGGCTCCAGTCCCATGTGGCAGGAATTTGGCTTTCTGCCCTGGGCCCTAGTGAGTCTAACGCTGGCCATGCCTGGTGGACCCCTGTAACCTGCTCACGGCCTCCCAGAGGGCCCCGGACCCCAGATTGAGAACCACTGATATAGGGGATCTGGGTGCAGACCCAGATCCCCAACCCTGAAAGGCCCGTGGATTCAGTTCAGAGAAGTGGGGAGGGAGCTCACTGACTCCCCACTCCTTCCTGCCCCTTCTCCCTCACTTTACCCGCAGCTCCCTCCACACACTCTGTGAACTGAGGTGCTGGGGTCTCAGCACAAGCTCCTGTCACGGTAGGGCCTGTCACCCTTGGGTGAAGGCCTCCTTTCCTTCACACCTCCACAGGGGTGCTACCTGGCCCCCTCACCAGCAGAGAAGCTGAGGGCTGAACGGGCCATGGGACCCCTCTGCACCTGCACCTCAGCCCTTGGGGGTTTCCCCGCAGGGTAGTACTAGGACAGGCTGTTCCCATCCAGGCAGACCCAGCAGCCTGGAAACCGTTCCCGTCCAGGAATGCTAAAGCCAAGGACGCAGTTAAAGAGAAGTTTCAGAGTAGCAGCCGTGTTAGTCTGTATCTGCAAAAAGAACAGGAGGACTTGTGGCACCTTAGTGACTAACAAATTTATTTGAGCATAAGCTTTCGTGAGCTACAGCTGAATGCATCCGATGAAGTGAGCTGTAGCTCACAAGAGCTCATGCTCAAATAAATTTGTTAGTCTCTAAGGTGCCACAAGTCCTCCTTTTCTTTTTAGTTAAAGAGAGGAAGACCTGGGGGTTGAGAGGGAATAGATGACGGCTGGAGCCATGAACAAGCTCGTGTCCTTGTAGTGCTTTGTGTGGTGTGTTTGTACAGAGCCTGGCGCAGGAGACACCGAGCCAGACAAGTAGCTGTAGTAATCAGAAGATGCACCCTTTGCATTCCCCCAAACAGCCACTCGAGGCCATTGTGGGTCCATTCCCTGTTAGCTGCATGGCGTTGGGGAAGCAGGCAGGGGAGAGCTGGGGTGGCTGGCAGAGGGAGTATTGGAAGCTCTTTGGCTTTGCTCCTTGCAGCAGGAGCAGCAGCCAGCATGAATCCCTGCAACAGAAGGGCAGGCGATGACCCCGGCCTTGCCCCCTCTGGCCTGCAGCTGACAGCATCGCAGCTGGGACACCACGGTGCCGGGCAGAGACCTGGCCGAGTCAAGCGGCGCAAAACCAAACGGGAGCGCAACTCTGCCAAGTTCGGCAGGAACACTGCGGTCGGAGGTCTGGAGCAGAGGCCTGGCTGCAGGACGCTTCAGAGGATGCCAACCCAGGGCTGGAGCTCGCACTGTGCTGGCTACGCCAAGTCCACCCCTCTACCAGCCATCAAAAGGGACTCCGGCTCCATGCCGG